TGTAAGGAGGTTGGGGCATTGGCTCGGTCCGCACTCCCACCACAGGGAAGCCAGGCAAGAGAAAAGAACCTCTCTGACAGTGTGTGAAATCTTGTCAGAATTTGTTGAAGACCCAGAACTGTACATCTCACTTCAAAACTTGGCTTTTAAAATCATCTTTGTGTGATTCCACAATGAGGCACTTAAAACCTAGAAGTTCTCCTAAAAGCTGTGTTGGTTGTCTTTGTATGAGTTTTTCTTTTCCTCATTTTTTTTTTTAATTCAGAGAAAATCTCTTTTGAATCTGTAGATAATTGAGCGTGAACCTGGCATGCAATATTTTCTCACTGGGCTACTGCCGTAATTGTCCCAAACCATGACATGCTCTGCTTGGGCTCCTGAGCCTGCAGAAGACGACAGGCTGATTTCTGAGCTTTAGTTAAGTCCGTGTCCTTAAAACTAAGTAAGCTATTCCACCATTAACTACATCCAAAATTCAGTCCCAACGAGTTTATTCCCTGCACCACTCATAATAGGGGGCTATAAAGTATAGAGTTCATGTCACTTTTAGTGTGGGTTTTTCAAGGAACGAATATTCCTGAGTTACTATAACGAAGGCTGGTGTAACTACAATGCAGGCACCTCGGTCTAAGCCTGTACTGAAAAGGGCATTTTGCAGGCTTCTTTTAACCAGCGAACCCTGATCCCGAGCAAAGATTACATGCAAAATAGAAAAAAAACAGAGCCCAAATCATGCAGACTGAAGTAGGGATGGAGGGTGGGGGGTGTGCGTCAGCGCAGGAGGCCTCGGGTCTTATCTCAGGCCTCTCTATCCTCTCTCCTTCACCTTCTGAGAGTTCAGAAGCCACTTCTATAAGCGATTTATTATCTAACTCAGGTAACAGTGTAACAGTTAAGGATGTTGGTTTTATACACTCAGTTTTGACTTGAACACACCTAGAGTTTCTATTCACTAGGATCATTATAGCAACAATTAGAAAATAGGTGGCCTAGTTCTCATCCTATGTTACTTTATCTTCTAAAGCAATGTTTCCAAAACTTTCTCATGTCCAGGCATATGAACAAATGATAATATTTCTATGAAACACTGTGGTAAACGAGAGGAGAATTGGGACTTTCGACAAAGCTACTCATGTTCCAAGGTGACTGTCTCTGGACGTCTGGCCAACCCAAACCTCTACCTGAGGCCACAGACCTTGGTTCATGGCTGGACATTAGACTAAAGTCTGACAAATGACAGTCGGTCTCAGGAACAATAGGGAAAGTTGGCAAAATTTAAGAATATTTTTTGAACGTGTAGATAGAATGGATAAATTTTCCAACTTACTTACTCCTGGTAATGAGACAATATGCTTCCCATTTTGGTAAAACTAATCTAAATTGAAACTGAGTTTCATTTTTAAATGCAGAAGAGTCCTAATTGATATATATTTCATTATCTAAAATTCAGATCTAATAGGTCATGTTCCAGTTTAAATATCTCTCCCAGACTCACCATTTCATATAGGATACAGTCAAAAATTTTATCTAATTTTAACATATAGGATAGAATCAAAATTTTTACCTAATTTTAACTAATATATAGGTTCACATATAATGCAATCAATATAGATAGAAGTGGAGTTCTCTCTCACTGTTTTATTGATGACAGCGTTAGCCAAGGTTGATTGCATTTTTGGTCTGGTTAGTATCCTTTTGATTATCTTAGCTGAGCAGCCCTCAATGGGCAGGTTGTTGGTGGCTCCTAGAGCTGATACGCTTTTAGGTAAATATTATTTCTCTTTTTTTTTCTGTTATTGTTCAGGATTTAGTCATTCTGGCCATTTTCTCTAGCACATACCCTGATCCTAATTGTAAAGGCATAATTTTATAATGTAGGTATTATAATGTAGATATCTTAAAGAAGACTCCTTCTGGTGATTGTATATACTATATTTAGAGAACAATTACTATAGAATAACGGTCCTCAAAGTGATTTGATACTAGCAGGATCAGTATCTCCTGGGAAGTTGTTAGCAATGCATATTCTTGGGCCCAGCTTTAGAGCCACTGAGTCATAAACTCTGGGGGTGGGGCTCAGAAATATATGTTTTAACAAGATGATTCTGTTGCACAGTAAAGTTTGTGAGCCACTGTCAGGGAGGGTCCAGCCTGGAGAACATCTTGATTGAGGACTTCCTAAAACCCCTCTCTCACTACTCCAATATACATTCCTTATGCTTTTTAAATTTCTGTTTCATTGGTGTTTTCTCTTCCATAGGAAACACAACCATTGTAGAGCTGAATCAGCCCTAATCAGCTGTATTTGTAATTTAACAATGTCATGCCTGCTTTGTGTGGGTGACTATTGTTAGCTTCTCACTTCTCCAAAGTTTTCCTGGAAGATTGGAAAATTAAACTAACTAGATTTTTTTTAATTAAGCACCTGCCATCATATCTCCTTCAAGGATGGCATTTTGAAATAATCATATGAACTTTTCCCCTCTCTTTGTTTTGCCTTCTTGATGATTTCAGGCTAGTAATAAAATTGTATTTCCTAGGCATACAAAACCTGATGACATTATAAGACACAAAACAATCCATATTGATGGCCACGGAACATCATTCTAGAGTTAAATCCATGTCATGAAAAGTCCACCAAGAGGGCAAATCACATTTGCAGAAGCTGAACTTTAAGCAGCAGATACAGACAGGTACATGCCCTGTTTAGGCGGCTGGAGCACCAGTTCTGGAGACAAACCTCCTGAGCTCAGATTCTGTTCCAAAACTGATTATTGGACCTTGTGAAAACCCTCTGTGCCTCAGTTTATGTATCTGCCTGTCATGGAGAATGTAGTCAGTACATTTTAGCAAAGGTATAGCTGTCGTAGCAACATCCTGCAGAGGATGCCCGCTCACAGTATTCAGGCAAGGTGTGTATAGTCAGGCAAGCATCAGTCTCTAAAAAGCACATAGAGACTATGTGATGACAAAGAATTGGTTGAGAATGATTAAGCCCACAGTGAGAGATGAAAGCAGTGAATAGTTTTTATAAAACTTGAAGTATGGACTCATACCTAATGTCACTTTAATTGTATACAATGCAAGTTAGTATAATTTTCAATTTACCCAAACCCAGAAGCCTGCACCAATTTGAGCTAAAATAATAGTTCTGTTTCATCTAATATGTTTTCCTTTCAGTTGGCTGTGCAAGTTCTTCCCCCCTCTTTTCAGAGCCTCGTTCTCTTCTAGCCCCCCCTGCTTCAGAAGATGTTACGTTCATGTCTATAAATGGATGGGCTGAGATGTTGTTCTCATGCCTGTAAGCACATACTATTGTTTGTGGAAAATGTTCTAAAATTTGTAGATAGCTCAAAGTTTGTGTTACGGTAAGATTCTTGATATACACAAAACCAAAGGGGTTTGGCTTCTCTCCATTTTGGCTACAAAGCCTGCCAGGAATTATTAATTATCCCGGGACGTCCCTGATCTCTGCATGCTCTTTGGGTATCTTGGCTTAGAATTTTACTGTTTTTTCCACTTTACACTCTACATAAATCTTACTGTCTATATTTGTTCCTTCACAGTTGCACCCATCATACGCTTTCTAGTCTTGAAAATTCGCTTGTATGACTGTATATGTTTAACTAAAACATATTAAGCATCAAGCACTGTTCTAGGCTTTAGGATACAGTGGTTAGTTCTCGCCATTATAATGCTTATATTAACTTAGTAACATAAACTGGCATCCCCTAGAGGACAGAACCTGAAGCTTATTATATCTGCCTTGTTCTTAGTAGAGTGTTGGGAACATAAATAGCTGCTCAATAAAAAAACTCCTGGATTATTAAAAGAATTATTATATTTAAAACATTAAGAACTTTCAAGGAATTTAAAATATTAGGATCCTGGTTGAAGGAAGACTTAAAGAGTGGGAGATTGAGTGTCAAGTACTTAAAAGGATACCTAGCGAAAATGCTTGGCTTTTAGGTGAGATAATAGAGAAAATACCTCTGTCAGTAATTGAAAATACAGTGTAATTGTGTAGCATAGAGGATACCTCCAGAAGACCTAGTGAGGAGTTGTGGGAAGTATTAGATACAGCACTGAGTTCAGAGTTTAAAAACCAGGGGTGGTTTTGTCACTTAGTAGCTATATAACTTTAGACAAGCCTCCTAAGTTCACAAAACCCACATAAAATGGCTCATGCAACCTTTCTGGAATGTTGTGAAAATTAAAGATGTAGAATATTTGAAAGCACTTTGATACATTTTTTTTAATTGTTAACTTTTTCCAGGCAGACAGGATTGGTTTTTGGGAATGTGTCTTAAATAGAAAGATGGTGATGAAAATGGGGAGTCGTTGGGAGAAGGGGAAATGTGTCTTTGTTCACAATCATTAAGGACTACCATGAAATTCCACCCCCAAAAAACCTAAAATGAGTATTCCGGGGATGCCAAAAAAATGTACACACATGAATTGTATTCATCTTTTGTTATAGGTATATATTATAACAATTTTAATGCAGTTTTTTTCCTTCCTTACAATGTGTATACTTTTTTTTGGCACCCTCTGTATATATCTTCAAGAATGTATAACTTGATCATCAAGAAGTTCAACTATAATGCTATAACATACTTATAGTTTATATCATTATTGTATGGTAGAGTCAATTTACTCTCTCTTATTCTCAAATATTTAGTACAGAAAACAAATAGGAATTTAAATATTACTGAAGCTCATGAAAACAACATTTTGTGGACAACAATTTCTTGGGTTTTTAGCTACTTTGCTATTTGTTTTTCAGTAGGCACAAGCATATTGTGAGATGTTCCATATTTAGGAAACTTATAACAAACTGTGAAAATAACATAATGCATTTTGGGTGAGCCAAAGCAGTTGTCTAAATATTTCATTAGAATTCAGACCAATACTTTGGGTTGTATATTTATTCATAGATAGATTTAAAAGTATTATTGAAGATACATTTCTCATTGCCACTTTTTAATTTCCATTTTTAGATTTTGGGAAATACATTAGACTGAAAATCAACAAAGATGAGAACTGATCCTGACACTGACTCACCCAGCTTGGATAGCACATCTTGAAGAAGTCCTCCCTGCACCTCTCCCCAAAAAGAGAAACATTGTTCCACTGTACTGTCCTCCAATTTGCACTCACACCTTCTCTATTGTAGTTATGTGTTAACGTGCCTATTTTTTGTATCTGATAGTGAGTTCCCCAGTGGAAGACACTTTGTCTTTTTTTTCTTGGCAACTTTAGCATAGGGCCTGGCACATTGTTGATGCTCAAGAAATGTTTCTTGTCTTGACTCAATTGAAATGAACATTAATCTTTGATTAACTCTGGGAAAATGCCACAAAATTAGTTAAGACTATCAGGAAGTCTTTATTTCAGTTTTGATTAAGCAATAACTTGAACCTCAAAATGTCTCAGTACTTGATTTAGAGACATATAACACTGGGTGAATAACACTTATATTTTTATGTTTCTTGAAGAATATGCTTATCCTTTCATGGAAAGGATCTACTGAATGAATTCATAGAAGGCAAACATGAGCAAAATGAAGTGGCCCGTGTGTGTGTGTGTGTGTGTGTGTGTGTGTGTGTGTGTGTGTGTGTGTGTGATTTGAATGTTAGATGGGAGAAGGGTGTATTAAGAGAGCAGATCTTGTCTGTGATAGTCACTAGCAGTGACAGCCACTACCCAATGCCTACTCAATATCCACTTCCCCTTTCTTACCTAACAGCCATTCCAATTGAGTAGAAGTTTGTCCAGCTAAAAACATTGCTTTGGCAGCTTCCGGTGCAGATGGAGGCAGTCATGTAACTGAATTCTGGCCAATGACAAAATTAGTGGAGGGCTCTGGTTGGGGCTTCCAGGAAAGCTTCATAAAAGAGAGAAACTCACTGGGATGGTCCTTTATTCCCTCCACCTTCCTCCTAGATGGATGCCTGGAGGAACAGCCATTTTGCAATCATGAGGATTAAATTCACATTGTAGGGTTGGTTTCAATAGGAACACAGAGGAAATCTGGATCCTTGATGATGCCGAGCATCAGTACTCATCCTATCTTCCTATCCATGGGGTTGTTGCATGAGACAAATAAACCCCTTCCTTGTTTTATTCACTGTTGGCTTTTCTTGAAACTCAATACAATCTGATACATTTGCCCTCCCAAGGAAAAAGGAAAGAAATGACTTTCAAAGTCTTATGAGACTTATATATGTCCAAAACTACTCTACTGAAATAACTCCATCTTTGCCCATGGTGCAAGGTATGACATTTCTATTTATTTCTTTGTTAGTTTTTCCTGAAACCTACATTTAAAGAACCCAAGAAAGATGTCTTAGAGGTAAATGTGTAATTTCTGTAGGCCTCAGTAGATAAATTCAGTTAACTATATGCATGCCTAGGTTTTGGCAAAAATCAAATAAGCAACATTCCTCACACACTGTTTTAAGTAAGTTTTATTTCTCAGTGGGTGTGACGCATACTGCAGGAGCACAATCAGTGAACATTGGCAACTTGCGTACATCTCTGTCTTTGTCCTATTTATATAATGGTGTCCGTGGTTCTCAAGTGGTATGCTCCTGCAGCTCATCATCTGGAAATCTTTCCCAGATGTCCTGAAATTTTTTTGATTAACTTGTATATTTTATTTTTGATAAGTAAGTACACATGCTTGTGACTGGAAGAGAAAACACCCTTCTCTTAAACCCAGAGGATGATTTGGCATTGAGAATAATTGATTCCTGCTCTGCCCACTCCACCCCTGTTATTCAAATAGAGATTATTCAGGAAAGCCCTGCCCTATACATTTAGCTGATCTAAAATAAAAGAAAAAATTACTTTATTTTAAAGATTTCTGCAGGCTTTGTGTATAACTCAGTTGTTTCTTTTTTTTCCCATTAAGAATCATATAATCCTAGAATAAGTTTCATTCCTACATATCAAAACTGGAACACAGGTTTAAAATAAGAAGTGATAATCTCTGTGGTGGCATTTATCCACAAAAGTGATATATCTGATTAGTGAAGTTCAGGACTCAAAACCAGGCCTTCTATCTCTTAGCTTGTGGAAGAATAAAGAGGGGACTAAAACTCTATGTATTGACATGAAGAACTATTTATTAGGGGGAGCTATCATTATATACATCATCTCACTTTATGCATTATAGTGCTTTTTCATGGGGAGTGTGCGCATATACTAGTTAGTATGTGTATACTTAAGTGCATGTGTGTGTGTGTGTGTGTGTGTGTGTGTGTGTGTGTGATTCATTAGTTCTGACCAAATGAATATACCAAAGGAATGAGAAGAAATATTTATACCTTGAACTGAAGGACCTGGCTTAACTCAACATATGTACCATCTTACTTTCTAGTCCAATCCTTTACCATGAAGGATGGAACCTAAAGGTAACATTGCATTTGCTAGACTCCTTTGCAGCCTGGTTTCTGGGTGAAATTACGTTTGACCAATCAGATGTCCTTACATAACAGTGAAACAAAGGTCTCACAGCTGGCTGATTCTGTATATTTATAATGACCTTTATTGCGGTACACTTTATAGAGAATATAATGTACATACTTTAAGTATATAGATTGAGGAGTCCAGACAAATGTATAGACATGTGTAACCAGGATCAATATAAAGTTACATAATAAACCCCTCACCCCAGAAAAGTCCCTTGTGCCTCCTTTCCAACAATTTTCCACCCCACCCCAATCCAGGCAACTATTGATCTACTTTTTATTACCATGGAGCATAGTTATCTTTCCTAGAGATTCAAATAAGTGGGGTCATACATGTATCCCGTTTAAGCCTGGCTGATTTCAATCAGTGTAGCTTCTGAAATATATTCACACTGTTCCGATGGTGCACAGGATTCTAAGATGGCCCCCAAGATCCTTGCCTTCTGGAATGCACACCATCTCCCAGTCATTCAAACACTCATCTAGATGTTACTGTGAAGGAATTTTTCAGATGTAATTAAAGCCTCTAATAAGTTTACCTTAAGTAGGAAGATTTTCCTTGGTGAACCTGACCTTAGCAGATGAGCCTTTAGAAAAAGAGATATTTGAAGCATCAGGGAAACTCTGCCTTTGGCCTTTAAAGAGAAGATCTCTATATTGTAAAGAAGGCCTAATGGTGGAGACCCCAACCAACCTCTAGGAGCTGAGAACAACCCTGTGTTGACAGACAGCAATAAAGCTCAGGCCTCAGTCTTATGACCATAAAGAACTGAATTCTGTCACCAACCACATGAACTGAAAAGAGACCCTGATCTTCATGAGATCACAGCAGTGGCCAACACTTTGAGAGCCAACAGGTGAGACCTGAGGGGATAACCCAGCTGCTATCCACGCCCAGATATCTGATGTACAGAGCTGTGAATTAATAGATGCACATTGTTTGAAGCTGTTAAGTTTATGTTTATTTGTTTTGCACCAATAGAAAACAAATATATTGTGTACATCATTAGATTGTTCCTTTTTATTGGTGAATATATGTTATATATGATTGCATAACATATCACCAAACATCCAGTGTCTGAAAAGAACACACATTTATTGCCTCATATTTTCTGTGGTTCAGAATTCTGGGCATGGCTTATGTGAATAGCATCTCATTCAGGATGTCTTACAAGCCGGGGAACAGAGTGTCAGCCGTCACTGAGGTCTTATCTGAAGGTTAACTTGGGAAGGGTCTACTTTCATTCTCAATTAATGTGGTTGTTGGCAGGAGTTAGTTCCTTTGGAGTTGTTAGACTGATGGCTTCAGATACCGCAGAAACAGTTGTTAAGCCAGAGCCTACCTTCCATTTACTGATTGCCTCCCTAATAATACAATTTGCTTCACCAAAACCAGCAAGGGAGAAAGTCTGCTAGCAACATGCTATAATCTCCAGTGATATACTCGTATATTGCAAACGTTTTTTGTTTTTGTTTTTTTTCTCGGTTTCTGTCTTGCATACTCATTTTTAAACACAATTGAAGAGCACTTTTTACATTCAATGACGTTTATTTTATCTATTTTTCTGTTATGATTCATACTTTTTGAACTACCTATAAAATATTTCTAATATAAAAAATATATTTTTATTCTAGAAGTTTTATGATTTTAGCTTTTATTTTTACATCTGTGATCCATTTTGAGTTAATTTTTTTGTATATTTTGAGGTAAGGGTTGATATTTTTTTATTTATAGATACTTCCAATTGGTCCACCATCACTTATTGAGAAAACTCTCCTTTGGCCATTGAATTACTTTGTCTCAATTATTGTGTCTCAAATCAAATGACCATACATGCATGGTCTATATTTATCTTGTTCCATTGATCTATGTGTGTGTCCTTTCACAAATACCATTGTCCTGATTACTAGAATTTTTGGAAATCTTGGAATCTATGTATTCCAATTTTGTTCTTTTATCAACTTGTTTTGGCTGCTCAAGGTCCTTTGCATTTCCCTATAATTTTTGAATTAGGTTGTCAATTTTCCTCAAAAATAAAGCTGACTGGAATTTTGAATGGGATTGTGTATATAATCTCTAGATCAATTTGGGGAGAACTGGTAACTTTTAATATTGAGTATCCTAATCCATGAATGTGGTATCACTCTCCATCATGGTCTTCTTTAATTTCTCAGCAATTTTTATAGTTTCAGTGAGCAGGTCTTGCACTTTGTTAAATTCTTAGTACTTCATGGTTTTAGATGCAGTTGTAAATACTTATCCTTTGTTCATTACTAGTACATAAGTACAATTGGTTTTTATGTTGATCTTGTTTTATGCAATCTTGTTACATTTGTTAATTCTTGTAGATTTTTGGAGATTCATTAGGAGTGTCTACATATGTCATTATGTCATTTACTAATTAAAACAGTTTTCCTTCTTTCATATTGTGTGTCTTCTTTCATATTGTGTGTCTTTATTTTGTTATTTTGCCTCATTTCACTTCAGTACAATGTTGGTTAAGGATGTTCAGTGTGGAGATCCTTTCTTTGTTTCTAATATTAGGGAGAAAACCTTTCACTCAGTATGATGTGAACTATAGCCTAACATTTTTTTTTTAAGATTTTTTTTTTAAATTGGGGAATTGGGGGAAGGGGAACAGACAAGTTGCTTTCCTTTTGTTCTTTAGTCTAGTTGTGGAGGACGTCACTTCACTGGCCCAAGTTGGCACCATCATTGCATTCTTCCCGGGCGAGGCAGATCAGTCGCCAGCTTCTAGACGGCCGCCCACTGCGGCTGCTGGCTACACATGGTAGCCCGTGGCAACCTGCTGCAGCAGGGGCTGCAGCCTATGCCATCGCCAGCGACTCCTGGCACCCCAGCTCCAGGTTGAGCTGTTGATCAGCATCTTAGCTGTAGAGGGCAGTGTCACTGGCCCTCATATGTGGGATCTGATCCGGGGCACTCTGGCGTCCCAAGCCAGCTCTTAACCAACGCGCCACTCAGCCGACCCATATAGCCTAACATTTTATTGATACTTTTTATAAGATTGAAAATATTTTCTTCTATCACTAGTTTACTGAGATATTATATCATAAATGGGTGTTCAATTTTGTCAAATGTTCTTTTTTCTATAGCTAACAAAATGATCTAATGATCCTTCTCCTTAATTCTGTTAGTTTGATGAATTTTAAAGATTGATATTAAACGGGTAACTGTGCATTCCTGGAAAAGCCCCATATGATTATAACATATTCCCTTCTTAAAGATTTACTCGATTAAATTTGTTAATGTTTGTTCAAGATTTTTGTATCTCAGTTTATGAGAAATCTTTGTACTTTTCTTATAATATTTTTAATCAGGGTAATAATGTCTCATAAAATGAATTAAGGAATGTTCCACTCTCCTATAATTTTCTAGAAGAGTTTGCATAAGATTGATATCACTTTTCCTTAAATCTGTGATAGAATTCACCCATGAAACCATCTGAATCAAGAGATTTCTTTTTGGAATCATACATTGTATTTTAATATATAATATATATTTAATGTATTTTAATATATTGGCTTAAGCTGGTCACAATCTAATCCATAGGCACAGAAGCACAGGTGACAACCTGGACTTGCTATTGGCATCTGAAGGGGGGAACATTCTTATAGAAACTGAGCCCTCAACTTGTAGAATCTGATGCTATCTCCAGGTAGAGAGTGTCAGAATTAAGTTGAATTGTAGGACAGCAACTGGTGTTGAGAACTGTTTGGCAAAATGGGTAAAAAAAAAATCTGCAGGCCGGAATTGAGTGCAGACTTGTAACCTTTATCCCATAGGAAATGAACATCCACTTTATTTTGGAGCATGGGTTGTAAATGAGCTTATCTCTTCTAGCTCTTTCTCCCACTTCCACCTTCTCCTCCTTCAATGTTGTTCTGAGCTCAACTTTCCAATAGTGTACTCTGCACACTCAAAACTCCTTCCCAACCATTTGCATGTCTTTAGCACTTCCCGCAATCTCATAATTTTCTCTCCTTCGTCCTCTAAATCGTTTTCTAAAAGTTTTTATAGGGACTCTACTGTCACTTAGGTGTGCATGTTGGCAAGTGAGTTATACATAGAAGTAATACCACCTAATAGGTATTTTCTTTCACTGCAAACCTAGAGCCTATTTAGATATTGATTGTACTTGAGCATTCCTTTGATTAATAGGTAGAGTTGCTATATTTTCTATAGATTCAGCTGTACTATAACAAAATGCAAAGCAGATTTAAGCATACATCTAGCAGGGGATCTGTTCAAAATGAATGGAATGAAGGCCTGTCTGGGTGAGTGGAAACCACACTGCATTCACTGGCAATACTCTGGTCCACGTTGGCTACAGTTCTTTCCCTTAGACATGCTAAGTGGAGCAGGGACAGCTGATAAAGAGGACAACAGTTTAAACATTCTGTTTTGCCATGTAAATATTTTCTAAGCTCCAGCACTGGATATTACTCTCAGCAGTTTATTAGTTCACAGAAAAAATACAAGTGCAAATAAGTATTGCATGCAAAAGATGCCTTTAATATTATATCTAGTCTTAGTATTTCCAATTTAATCTTTTCTGGAAGTGAACAAAAATGAGGATTAAAAGCTTTTCACAATATCTTCACAATGGTTATTCCCAAACAATGAAAACAGCTTGATGGCATAATCTATGGAATAAACTGTGGTAGGTTGTATATTTCCATTTTCCTTCCTGAGTCTCTTCTTCCACACATCCTGTGACCACAAATTATCAAGCGTCATGTACATACTTTATTTTCCAAGCCTTACACATTTTAAAGGAGCATTTTTAAAAGTCCCATGTTGTACAGCATAGTGTAAGCCTGAGGCAAAATATCACGGCATAGCTGGTTCTAATAGGAAAAGCACCCCAGAGCCATGATTGTTACAGAAAAGAGACAGTTAAAGAGAAAACCACAGGGCAGAATGGTGTCACTTGTGCTATAGCCCCTAATACCAAACCTAGATTGAATACCTTATCTAATTGCTGTTTCAACTTCTCAGAGAACCATAATGTCAATCAACCAGTCTGGAATTTTCTGGTCAACACCAATAAGGTAACCTGTCAAGTGGGCCCTCTCCATCCCCCATAGACAGAAGAGGCAATCTGCATGAGAAAAACCTTTGCTTTCCCCTCACCCCAAACAAAGATAATCCTTTAATATAAAAATAGTACTGATCTAAAAAAATCCTTTCTTACTTTTGTTAATAGTTCCCTTGCCTCCCCTTTTTCCTATAAATATCTTCCGTTTTTGCACTCCCTTGGCGTTGCTAGATTGGATGCTGACCAATTCATGAATGACTTTCATAAAGACAAGTACATCTTTGAATTTACTTGGTTGAATTTTATTTTTTTAACAAAACAAACAAAGTAAGAATTACGTAGCTTTGCTAGATAAACTTTTCATTGGTGTCTGCTCTCCTTTGAAAACAACACAAAACAAAACAATGCAAAAGAGTTTAAGGGTGACCACTGATTCTGAAGAAGAAAGAATGTTTTAACCACTCTTTCCTACACCAAGGTATTCTGCTGCTGCCCATCTCACAATCTTCACTAGCAGGAAAATGAATACATCCAGTAACAGTAAATGAGGCTCCTGGGTGGCCTCATTTCCCCACTGTACTCCCACAAATGACAGGAAGATCCCAAAGGCCTGAGGGCAAAAAAAACCTACAACAGAAGGTTTGCTGAGCCCATGGAAAGACAGAATAAGCAAAGGTGTAAAAATAGTCTTTGAATGTGAAGTGGCAACCTGCTTATTCCCATGAGATTGAGGATTGTGTCTAAATCAATCCTGCCCCTGGCATGAATTGTAGAGAATCTGATACTTGTGCAAATGTGGCTGTTGCTGTTATGACTAAACTGATGCAATGTATGAGACAAGGGTTTCGGTTGGGCAGTTAAAACGTTTGCAGATTTTAGGATTTAAAACAGGAATTGTGAATTTGTTTCTGTAAAGGGAGAGATAGTAAATATTTTAGGCTCTGCGAGCCATACTGTGGCAACTACAGAAATCTGCTGTTGGAGAAGGAAGGCATCAATAGCATGTAAAATAATGTGTGTGG